TCTCCTCCTCTTCCCTCCTTAGCTCTTCCTGCTCCAGCTGGTGTGGTTTCCTTACTGTCCCTTGTCAACACCAGGCCTGGGCCCACCTTAGCATATTTACTGCTCCTTTGCCCCAAAGCCCTTAAACCAGATATCTATCTGCAAGACTTGTGTGCTCATCTTTGTCACCTTTTTGCTCAAATGTCACCTTCCAGTAGGATCTACTCTGAGCACTGGGTTAAGATTGCAGCCCTGGGGTCAAATACATAGTGATGGAAAGAGACTTGACTTTTGGTGATGAAAACACAATGCAATACACCAATGATTATAACAATGTACACTTGAAACGTATCTTATTAACCAATGTCACCCCCAAAAATCTAATACAAATTTTTAAAAAGTTATGCTAAAAAAAGTTTGCAACCAGCTATGTTATATGTCATAGCATTTTTTATTTTTTTGAACATGTATCACTAATATGATATATAATTTATTTACTTATTTTGTGTATTTTTGTATACCCTCTCAATGCAAGAAACATCCAAACCTGGACAGAATTTTTTAGTTTATTTGCAGATAAAAACAGGATACATCTGGAAACAGGACCTCAACAGACTGAGAAAAATGCTTTCTAGAAATGAGTTTGCAGCTTCCTTTTTGCGTTTGGACTGAAGGGGAGAAGTAAGGAAGATTACAGGAAGGAGGGAGAAAGCAAGGCAGGGGCCAGATCACAGGGTAGTTAATGAGATTATGTGCTCCTTTGGACGGGGTCAGGCTCTGGGAGGAGGAGTCCGAATAGAGTAATTTCAGAGGTGTGTTAACCTAGTTGCACAGAAACAATGGACAGGGCTTACTTAAGGCAAAGATTAACCTTTTACTAAAGAAGTTACAGGCCTGGGATATAACTCCCCACTGTGACTTGCCCAGTTAGGAATTTATGATCAGATCAGCCTGTGAGGTTATTTTCCATAAAACCTCTTTTTTTCATCCACAGTCCCATGAGAATGTAAATTCCAGGACGACGGAGATTTTGCAGTTTTCATCACTGAGGCTTTCTAGTTCCTGGAATACTGCCTGGCACATAGTGGTGCTTACTATATACTTAGTGAGTGAATGAATGAACAGATACCATCGTATTGATTATTTTAAGGGGGCCAGGGGTCCACTGTGTGGATGGTGTAATAACAGCGGTGGTTAGCACTCACAAGGCATGTCTGGTATAGCCCTTTATGAATTTAGTTCCTGCACAAATTTACAGTCCTTTACAAATGTGAAGTGCTCTATGAATTTATACTCATTCAAACTGCTCAACAATCTTATGAACTGGGTTTGAGAGTCAGTCCCATGTAGCAGATTATACAGCCGGGGTTCAGACAGATTATTAACTCTCCCGCAGCCACAGACGACGGGGCCATGCTTGTCTGGCTGCCTCTGGAACTAGTACATTTACTTGTTTGTGCCAAACTGGCACAGGATGGATATAGCGCGACTTGCTTCATCAGTCTCCTACAAATAGATATCCTCTTGTGGTTCTCAGGTGAGGCAAGTAAGTCTCAGAGAGGTTAAGACACTTGTTCAAAGTCACACAGCTAGAAGTCAAGTCCATCAGCTGAATCCGAGGTCTGAATTCTCTGTTACTATGTCAGCTCACCTGCCAAGGCCCCCTTCTCTCCCAGGAGAAGGATAGGGTTCGGGAGGCTTTCCAGGTGGGCCCACTTCTGCCCCTTGGCCACATCCGTCCTCCCCAAGGCCCTCCCTCTACCACAGTTCCTCTCCCAGCTCTGGTATCTTCTCCCAGCTGCCCTCGGCCATGGACATACCAGAGCCCACTTTACCCCTTAATGGTTCGCCTGCCTCCCAGAGCGGATGAAGATGCCTCCAGGTTCCTATTCTGGAGTTTCCCACCTTCGCACCTCTTGTATCGGAGAGGTCAGGGTCCATCTGGGGGACTTACCTGACATTCATTTATTCAGTCACTTTTATCGAGCACTTCTACCTGCTGGGCACCATTCAAGAGCATTTGGCTTCATCTGAATCCAGACAGAGCCCAGACTGGCCACTCACAGTGTATCTACTACTATATTGGAGGATACAATGGTGAGCAGAGAAGAACGCAGCCCCTGACCCTGAAGGGCTGACAGCCTAGTGGTGGGACAAACACTGCCAAGTACTCGGCCTGAGTAAGAGTCCAAGTGTGATTACCATCTCTGCTGGAGACGCAGAGTGCTCGATGGCTGAGATGCCAGGAAGGGGGCCCTCGGCTGAGAGCTGAAGGATGAGTTAATAAGCAAAGAAAGGAAAGAACTTTTTAGGAAAAGGGACTGCGTATTTAAAGGCCCTAGAGACAGCAGGGACCACAAGAAGCCGGGATGGCTGGAGCAGGATGAGGGGCACTTGGTGGGAGAGGAGGCTGGGAGGCTGTCTTTGCCAAGGAGTTTCGGCTTTATCTCAAGCACAGCGGGACTCTGCTTAAACTGAGGGTGGGGTGGGGATGGTAATGGTGCCAGACGGCCTGATCAATCCGATTTGCGTTCTGAAGACAGTTCTGGCGGAAAAGTAGAGAACAGTTGGGCAGGGACTAAGGAGGACACACAAGTGGGGAAGGGTCTATGGGCTTGGTGACACTGGAGAAACAGAGGAAGTGGTAAACCTGAGAAGCACTGGGCCCAAGGCGATGCCCTTCTCTACAGTCTGTCCATGTTCACAGACTGGTTGGTGGGCAACGGTGGGGGAGGCACGGAACCGCACTGCGCTGGTCAAGGTGGAACGCTCTAAAGGGCACCCTGCAGCTTCCTGCGGGATGGCCAAGATCTTAAAAGACATAAAAATGAACAAGTTCCCATTCTCAATGGAGAAGAAGCTTAAGGCCAGGGCTTGCCCAGGGCTCCAGAGAAGGGTAGGTGGGTCCCTGGTCCCAACAGCGCTCTACCCAGCACAGGGGTCCCAGAGCTCAGAAGCTGTTCCTCTCCTCTCACATCTCCCCACAACGCTGGAAGGGTGCCAAGCGTGAAGGGACCTCTTGACCCTTGGATGCTGGTCCTAGTTTTCTTGCACACTTGCTCTGTGACTCCGGGAAAATCTCCTTTCCTCTCTGGGCCCATTTCTTACTGGCAAGACAGGAAGTTGGAGTAATCGGTGACTTAACTTTTAGAGGAGATCACAGAACCTTTGTCAAAGGCTATTACCATTATGTACACAATTTCTGGCAGCTGTAGGAGTGCCTGAAGCCCTGGGGTGGGGCGGGGTGGCGACCTACCTGGGCCTCAAGTTAAGAATCCTGGGATGAGGCAGAACAAGCACCGTTTCTGAAAGCCTGCTTGAGGACTGGTGTACTACCCTGTTCTAATCGACTGGTTCATCACAGTCCTTTAAGGCAACCATTCTTTTCCCCACCTGGAGACAGAACTTAGGCTAGGAGAAGCTGAACTAGGAACCCCCATTCTGGGACTTTCTGAAGCCAAAGACCACTCTTCCCATTGAAATGAGAGACATCTCTATTCTCCTTTCCCCGTCCCCACTACACCCCCATTACATCATGCAGTGTAGACCTCACAGCCAGAGCCCTGATACAGTCTGAAAGGCTCTCATGAGGCAGGGCTTACTGGGGAGGTAAGGCGGAGGACCTGAGGCTCAAAGAGGCTAAGTGGCCTGCAAGGCCACACAGCAAGTGTGCAGTCTAGCTGAGAGGTGGAGGTAGAGGACAGGTGTGATTACTCCTTCAGTCCCAGTGTGGGAAAAGCCTCATTTAGTTGCCACTTGGAAAACCAGGGGAAAGGGCGCGAGGAGGCTGTAATTAAGGGCAGAAGGCAGGCCCCTGGGGCTTGGGCAGCATATGCTGGGGCTGTGAATCGAGGGCGCTTAGGCTGTCGCTGACGTCGCACCCTAAAAAGGAGTCTCCCGAAAGTGTTCTGTCTTTCCTTGATGTTTCTAGTTCTGGCCCTTTTCCCCCTCGGTGGAAGGGGACCCAGAGTGTGAGTCAACGTCCTAAGCCTGAGAAGGCCCCTGGGTGTTCAAGTCCCCGCCCTGGGGACTAGTAATCTTAGGCCTGGGTCTGTCCTCGAGGGAAGTGAGATGATCTTTCTGGACGTCCGGAATCCCCGCAGCCCGCTGCGGCCCTGGATGAATTACCTTGGGGGAGGGGCTAAATACTGCTGAGGATACAGAAAGGCTTTTAATGAATGAAAACTCAGTGGCTCGGTCAGTCCCAAAGGGCAGGCAGAAAAAGCCGACACCGCCGCTTTTAAAAGTAAAGCCACTTAGAAAGGCTCTCCATTCCCACGTCCTCCTGCCCCAAGCTCAACAAACAGCCTGAGCCCCGACACAAACAAGCACCACATTACTAAGCGGGGAAGGCGCGGCGCCTTTAAGGGGCGGTGGACGGCACTGCCCCCTGGCGGTGGATGCGGCCGCGCTTCCTCCGCCCCGGCGGGTCCAGCGGGCCTGCCGGCCGGGTCAGCACCGCGGCGGCGGTGGGGCCGGGTTCGGCGAGTGCGCGCGAAGACGAGGACGAGGACGAGGACGAGGAGGAAGTGGCGGCGGCGGGTGAGGATCGTGGGCGGGGCGGAGGCCGCGTGCGCTCCGCCGGGGTCCGAGCGTGCCGGGAAGGGCACGCGCCCGGCTCGGAACGGCCGTCTGCGCCGCCCAGGGCTGGGAGGGTGGGCCAGCTGGAGAGGCAGGGAGGGAGGACTGGGGCGGTAAGCAGCCCGAGCGCGGGGCCGATTCTCCGCCGGCGTAGCCGGAGGGCGGGTTGCTCGGCTCTGGGCGGTTGGAGGGAGACGGGCTGGGCGGCGCCGGTGAGCCAGGGCCTCCCATCTCTCCTCCGGGCCCGGCCCTGGTGCGGCGCTCGCGAACTTGCTCGCCGGCGAGCCCCGCGGGCGGGCGGCAGGGGCGGCCCCGGAGCGGCGGCAGCCAGTAGCAAGCCGCGCTGAGCGCCGCTCCCCCGCCCGGGCGTCCGCCCCGCCCCGGCCCGCCCCGGCCCGCCCCTCCCGGCAGGCCCCTCCCGGCAGGACTGCGCCCGGAGCCCCGTTCCGCGTCCTCGCCGCCGGGAGGAGGTTCCCGCACACTCGCGGCGCGCGCCGGGCCGCCAGAGTCGGCCTGTGGGCGATTTTCTCCGGACCCAAGCTCCGCGCCCGAGGAGGAAGATGCAGACCTTTCTGAAAGGGAAGAGAGTTGGCTACTGGCTGAGCGAGAAGAAAATCAAGAAGCTCAATTTCCAGGCCTTCGCCGAGCTGTGCAGGTAAGGAGGAACGGGGCTCCGGCGCCGGAGGACCCCGGCGCGATCCCCGCTCAGCCCTAGCGGCTCTTTTGGGAGGTTAGAGCAAAACGGGAAGGAGCAGTGCCCGAGGACACTGAGTCCGAGGAGCCAGGTGGCTGTGCTGGCCGCTGGCAGTGTTCGAGGGAAGCGGTGGCCAGTATGGGCGGTGTGGCACGGACCAGGGTTCTCAGGTGCACTGTGACCCCGGTGGGGAATCCTCCAGCCGCCCAGGGCGCGGTGGGAGCGCTGCTAAACGTGGCGGAGGGACCTGGGAAATCGAGAGATCAAGCGCTTTGCCTGTGGCTGGAGGTTACTTTTGGGCTGGGGTGTTTTTCTTCCGTTGTTTCGTTCCCTTCTCCTCTTGGAGAAAGGCACCAGTGTTCCCATGTTTGCGGACCACCTACTACGTGCCCAGCGAGTGCAGCTCTTGAAGGTGTTATTGCATGTGACTGGGATAAGCCCATGTGAAGCGAGTAGCAACACTTGGCATGTATGTGGTGATTTGCTGTCTCATTAGAGCCTCGCACCAGCCTTGAGAATTGGCCCAGGGTGGTGATTCTGAGCCACGTGTCTGAGAAGGGGGATGGATCCCCAAAGAGGTGGGGTACCACGCCAGGGGCCCCAGACTTAGGGAGTGGCAGGTGCAGAGGAGGTGCTCGGTAAATGCATGTGGCATAGGATAGCCTTCCTCTCCTTGTCCCCCCACCCCCAATGCCGGTGGCTCAATAATGGAGACTTAAGTGTTTGAATAAGATGGCATTCTTAATCCATTACCGAAGCATCCAGTGTTGGGTCAGGTATGCCTCGCCTTGCCCCGCAACTGTGGCTTTGCCTTTGCGAAGCTGTGAGTTAAATCCTGTTCTCAGTGAAAGCCTAGGGGAATTCAGGGCTCCATAAGCCTTTTGCAAACTCTAGGTGGGAACCTTTTGTTATGCAGTGTCTCCGCTTGGTAAATCTGATTATTGAAAATGGGTCCCGCTTGCATTTTCATCCCTGCTGGGTCCCCAGACATCATAAAGAATTAAACAATTGTGTTTCTTTATCTCCTGGTGCGAGGAGCAGTGGTCGTTCTGAGCTAGACGGTCTGAGCTGAACCAGCTCACAGCACCTCTGTGCCCCTCGTGCCTGTCCCAAGGGCCTGGTGCCCCTTTGCCCAGGGGGGCTCCCTTTGCATGGACTGGCTTCTGGGTCTGCATCCTTGGTCAGGGGATGGAGTTGGCTGCCTTCTCAGGCCCGCTTGCCCAGGAGGAAGCAAGCTTTCCATAGTCAGTAGGGCAGGACGAATGCGTTAGGGGATCAGGAGGAACTCGAAGCCAGAGCTTTGAAAATGGGTCTGAGGACTTTCGGAACCTTAATAAAGGGCGCTTGAACATTACACTGCAGATACACTTGTGGAAAATGGGCCCTATCCACTGGAGAAATGGGGAGAAGCCCCTCTGAGGCGTCCCTGAAGCCTGGCTCCGGTGTAAGGTGCGGGAGCTCCCCCTGCAGTCATCTAAGCCTTGGGAAATTCCATTTAAGACCTTGCACCCTTTCTCCTGAGGTCTGGCTGTATTTGTGTCATCCGTGTCTGCAGCTAAACCAGGAGGCTTGTCATCTGGTTGGTATGTTTTGCTCCATAATTAGGAGGAGGCTCTTGTAAAAACAGTTTGAGCTGAGGCGGGGAGGTCCTCCTTGTAGACTTTGCAGATTGGCTTTCCCTGTCTGTGGACCCCCTGCCTTTAAGCAGGAGGTTGGTGGGAAGCTATGATGTCAACCCTTCTGGGGGAAATCCAGCCCAGACGACTGTTAAGTTCTCTGAAAGGGCTGTTGCCCTCAAAGTTGAGTTGCTTTCTGGCCAAAATAATGGCTTTGAGGAGAAGAAAGAAAGTGTCTAAGTCATTCTAGAATCTCAGGAAGCCGTCTTTGTGTTTTCTTAGGGACGCTTTAGATATTTTGTTACAGAAGCTTAAGGAGGGAAAGAAAACACCAAAAAAAATTTTTTTTTGTTTCTTCTCTTTATTATTTTTGGAGCAGCGCCCCCTGGTGGCCACATTTCTGTAGTGGGTGCAACATGCTGGCACCCTAGAGAGGGTGCCCAGAGCCCTTTGCTGCTGTTGTGTTTGGTGAGAATGCTGATGGGATTTTAGTGGCCCAAGACAGTGTTACATTGTCGACGTTCGTGACCTGGGGGTAGAGCACTCCTGTTTTTGATGGATGATGAATTGTCTGTGAATTTCACAATGAAAAAGTCCAGAGATGTTTGGAAATGACTTGAGGCTCTGCTCTGAATGTTTGGGGCAGTGTCAGCGCCAGCGAGGCTGACCCGGACAGACTGGGATGAGTTGTTTAGCTGAATGTCGGGCCTTGTAAAAATCTCCAAGAGGGAAGGGATGTTGGAGAACGTCTCATTCAGCCCTTTGTTTTACAGATGGGGAAACAGGTGTGAGAGGGGGCAGGTTCCACACGTTCCTTCCTTTTCTTCAGCCTCTAGAATGGGTCCAGTCTGGTGGCCTCGCGCGCACACAGAAAGCCGGCCCCTTCTTTGTGAGCCCCTCTGGCAGCAAGGTGGCCCCCCTCATTATTTTCACAGGAGTCCAGCGGCTGCCGCGGGGATGCTCTTCCTTGCTTGCAAGGCTGAGTTGTGCCCCTAGCAGGTGCAATGCCTTCTCCTCCTAGGGGGCATCGCACGTCGATGGCACCAGGAGGTGTTTGGAGCCTGCTCCTGCTGGGACACCTTAGGTAGACGTATGGGCCTGGGCCCTTCAAGCCCTTGGTGCCCCTTGAGAGGAGGGCCCTCTGACTAGTCAATAGACAGGCCTTTCACTGAGCTTGTTCTTGACTGATGCTGTGTGTTCCTGTGATTCTCCTGTTTCTTCCCCTGTCCCGGGGACCTGGCTTGGCCTCTTCTAACCCCGCTTCCCCTTCCCCTAACGCTGGAGCAGTCTTGCTGCTTCCCCGTAGCCACTTCGTGGTTTCTTCAGCATGCCCAGAGGGAATTTAGAATGTTGGGTGATTTTTGTCTGACTCTCTGCAGCGCCCCGTTTGGAAGTGCTGGCCGAACACGACTCCCTTTGTGTTTCTCTGTGTCTCTTCTCCAACTCCTTTTCGCCTTCCCACTCTACTCTGTCCTGTGGTGGAATGGTGTTGCAGGGGGTAGTGAAAAGGCACGTGATTTTATGGAGCAGTCTTTTTGTTTGTTTTAATTTTTTAAGATTTTATTTATTTACTTCTAGAGAGAGGGGAAGGGAGGGAGAAAGAGAGGGAGAGAAACACCGATGTGTGATGTGGGAAAGAAAGATCTATCAGTTGCCTCTTGCATGTGCCCCCACTGTCCCCGCTCCTGCCGCCCCAGGGACCAGGCCTGCAGCAACCGGCCATGCGCCCCAACCTGGGAACCAAACCGGCAATCCCTCAACTTATGGGACGATACCCAACCAACTGAGCCACACTGGCCAGGGTGACTTTATGGAGCATTCTTGGTATAAAACATGGGTGCACCTCTGTCAACCTTTGATGTAATATTCACTGACTTTTTAATGTGGTCCTTCCAGCTACCTTATCTTAATTGATCCCCCAGCAGCCCAGGGAGGAGAAGGGAAACTGAGACTGGGGGGGGAGGGTGTAAGGGACTTGCACAGCCAGCTGGGCTTCCCTGAGCCCAGTCCTGAGGCCTCTGCGCCTGAGGACGTGGCTTCCTTGTAGAAGGGGCCCTTTTTTGCCCGGGTCATCCTGGAGCTTCCTGGAGGCTTCAAAAGCAGAAGAGTATCTGTATCTGTGAGGTCCTCATCCTTGAGAAACTTGGAGGCTAGCTGGGCCAGCTAGTTTGCAGGAAATAACGTGTTTATGGTGCAATCTCAGACCGTGTTATTGATGCCTGCTTTCCCACAGGGGACCCTTTGTAGAGTTCGCCCAGAAGGGACGAGGCCAGGAGCCCGTTGTGGCTCGAGTTCACGAAGTGCCTTCTGGAGTCCAGGCCTGGTGTCAGGCAGGGGAGGGGGGCGGGGGGCAGTGGGGCGCAGCCCAGCCCTCCCGGAGTGGTGAGCGGGGCATTAAAGTAACCTGGCCTGGAAGGCATGCCAGGGAGCGTGGGGTGCCCACGTCCCTTCCTCTCAGGGCCCTCATTTCTTCAAAAGGGGCTGTGGAAGGTCCTTTTCTGCTGGGGTGGCTTTCATTCTAAGCTGGAATTCTTTCGGGAGATTGTTGCGGGGAGGAAGGAGGATCTTTTCCTGGATGCTGGTCTGTTTGTCTTACGGTCGGGATCTAGCACTGTTGTGAGGGTGCGGGGCGGGGGGTGGGGGCGTTGGGAGTGGGAGGAGGGCCCAGGTTTCCTTTGCCGCAGTGCATGGGACTGTTGTAACGCAGCCTTGCAAATAAAATAAACGCTTTCCGGGAGTAAGCTGGACTCACAGTGGGCACATTGGCCACCCAGACCTGCCATCCTGTTGCTGAGACAGCCTGGGTCCCAGGCCTGGCTCCCCTGTGACCCTGGGCGCGTGACTTAACCTCTCTGTACCTCAGTTTTCTCATCTGTAAAGTGAGGAAAACAGTACTTAGTTTGGGGATGTTGTGTGCAGTGAAGGAGTCAGTGAGGACCTGTGAGGCGCCTGGAATACTGTAAACGTGGCGGCTGCTATTGTTTTCCTGTTGTGGCTGCCCTTGGACAGTGGGTGAGGGGGCTTCTGGGCCTCTCCTCTGGGACCGTTGGCACTTGTCGATGCAGTGCTTGGGCTTGGGCAGTTTGTGAGCGACCCTGAAGTCCCTCACGGATGCTCCCCGATCGTCCTGCAGGGTGAGGGGGGTATGAGGAGCGCGAGGGTGGCGGAGGAGGGGCTGGCAGCCACGGCTAAGGAGGGTCGGCTAAGGAGGGTTGCAGCCCGGCCTGGTGTCTCCTTTCACACACTCTGCCCGTCTGAGCCTTCCAGCCTGTGGAGGCGGGGGTGGTGTTCTCGCCTATTTAATAAATGGGGAACCAGAGGAAATTAGAGGTTATGCAAGATGCT